CTCTTTGTTCACTTCAGCGCTCCAAACATTCTATTTCCTTCATTTTATCCCGTTTTCCTCTGTGTTCACTTCAGCGCTCCAAACATTGTATTTCCTTTATTTTATCCCCTCTTTTCCTCTTTGTTCATTTCAGCGCTCCAAACATTCTATTTCCTTTATTTATTTTATCCCCTCTTTTCCTCTTTGTTCACTTCAGCGCTCCAAACATTCTATTTCCTTCATTCTATCCCGTTTTCCTCTTTGTTTACTTCAGCGCTCCAAACACTGTATTTTTTTTTATTTTATCCCCTCTTTTCCTCTTTGTTCACTTCAGCGCTTCAAATATTCTATTTCCTTTATTTTATCCCGTTTTCCTCTTTGTTTACTTCAGCGCTCCAAACACTGTATTTTTTTAATTTTATCCCCTCTTTTCCTCTTTGTTCATTTCAGCGCTCCAAACATTCTATTTCCTTTATTTTATCCCCTCTTTTCCTCTTTGTTCATTTCAGCGCTCCAAACATTCTATTTCCTTTATTTTATCCCCTCTTTGTTCACTTCAGCGCTTCAAACATTCTATTTCCTTTATTTTATCCCCTGTTTTTTTTTTCTCTTTGTTCACTTCAGCGCTTCAAACATTCTATTTCCTTCATTTTAACCCCTTTTTTTTCCCCCACTCTGTTCATTTCAGCGCTCCAAACATCCTCTTTCCTTTATCTCATCCCTATTTTTTAATTTTTATTGTTTTTCCACTCTGTTCATTTCAGCGCTCCAAACATCGTCTTTCCTTTATCTCATCCCTATTTTTAATTTTTTTTTTCCCATTCTGTTCATTTCAGCGCTTCAAACTTTCGATGTCCTTCATTAACCGCAACCCCCCCCACCACCACCAATTCGAGGGTCGGGTTGAAGGGGGGGGGGTAATTTAATGAAAAATGTCGAATTAATTATAATAATATTAATAAAAAAACAGAAACCAAAAAACCTGCATTGACGACAAACAATTAAATTCCCCCTCCTCCTACTAAAACAGAGAGAGGGTGAAAGAGAGAGAGAGAAAGAGAAAGAGAGAGAGAGAGAGAGAAAATAAACATCAGCAGGAGCAGCAGCTGAACAAAGAACGAACTTGTTCCGCCTTGCCCGTTGCTAAAATAAATAAATAAATAAATAAATAAATAAATAAATAGGTTACCCTGCGTTTTGGAACGTTAAAGTATACTTTATTTAAAAAAAAAAAAAAAAAAAAATTTGAAAAAAAAAGAGAAAAAGAACATAAATTCGAAATATGAGTCGGGATAAAAAAAAAAATGTCTTTCAAAAAATATATCCTAAAATTCGCAATATGAGTCGGGATAAAAAAAATATCTTTAAAATATATCCTAAAATTCGCAATATGAGTCGCCATAAAAAAAATATCTTTAAAATATATCCTAAAATTAGCAATATGAGTCGCCATAAAAAAATGTTTAAAATATATCCTAAAATTCGCAATATGAGTCGGGATAAAAAATATCTTTAAAATATATCCTAAAATTCGCAATATGAGTCGCCATAAAAAAAAATTATTTAAAATATATCCTAAAATTTGAAATATGAGCCAGGATAAAAAAAATATCTTTAAAATATATCCTAAAATTCGCAATATGAGTCGCCATAAAAAAATTATTTAAAATATATCCTAAAATTCGCAATATGAGCCAGGATAAAAAAAATATCTTTAAAATATATCCTAAAATTCGCAATATGAGTCGCCATAAAAAAATTATTTAAAATATATCCTAAAATTCGCAATATGAGTCGGGATAAAAAAAATATCTTCAAAATATATCCTAAAATTCGCAATATGAGCCAGGATAAAAAATTATTTAAAATATATCCTAAAATTCGCAATATGAGTCGCCATAAAAAAAAAAATTATTTAAAATATATACTAAAATTCAGAATATGAGTCGGGATAAAAAATATCTTTAAAATATATCCTAAAATTCGCAATATGAGTCGAGATAAAAAAAATATCTTTAAAATATAACCTAAAATTCACAATATGAGTCGACGTAAAAAATGAAAATGTATCCTGAAATTCGCAATATGAGTCAGCGTAAAAACCTAAACTTACCATATGACTTAGCATTAAAAAAAAATACTTTAAAAATAGCCTAAAACTTGCAATATGAGTCGGCGTAAAATAAACATTTAAAAAAAAACATATATAGTCGCAATATGAGTCGGAATAAATAAAACAAAAATATTAAAAAAGAAAAAAAGATATCCTAAATTCGTAATATGAGTCCGCATAAAAATAATATAAAAAAAAGAAAAAAGAATTAAACTCGAAATATGAGTCAGCATAAAAACATATTTTTTTCCAAAAAAGAAATATTCTGGAAAATTCGCAATATGAGACGGGGTAAATAAAAATTTAAACGAAACTCGAAATATGAGTCGGCATAAAAACTGCATAATAAATTAAATTCGTAATATGAGTCGGCATAAATTTTTTTTTTTTTAATTATTTCCTGTACTCATACGCAATATGAGTTGCTGTAAATAAAAACACGTTCTTGAATAATCTCTAAAAACTTGCAATAAATATCCTAAGCTCGCAATATGAGTCGGCATAAATAAAATTATCTTTTTTTTTAAGAACTCGTAATATGAGTCGGTATAAATAAAAAAAAATATGAAATAAGCTCGCAATATGAGGCGGTATAAATAAAATAGCCTCTAAACTCGTAATATGAGTCGGCATAAATAAACATTTAAATAAACACGCAATATGAGTCGGCATAAAAAAAATTACTAAAAATCGCAATATGAGTCGGCTAAACACGTAATATAAGTGGGCATAAATTAAAACTTAATTAAACACGCAATATGAATCGGCGTAAATAAAAAAAAATATTAACTAAACACGCAATATTAGTCGGGGTAAATAAGAATATTAACTAAACTCGTGATAATGAGTCGGAGTAAATAAAATATTCTCAAAACTCGTAATATTAGTCGGGGTAAATAAAATAACCTCTAAACTCGTAATATGAGTCGGCTTAAATAAAAAGATTAACTAAACATGCAATATGAGTCGGGGTAAATAAAAATAATCTCTAAACTCGCAATATGAGTTGGCGTAAACAAAAATATTAACTAAACTCGTAATATGAGTCGGCGTAAATAAAAATACTCTCTAAACTCGCAATATGAGTCGGCGTAAATAAAAATACTCTCTAAACTCGTAATATGAGTCGGCGTAAATAAAAATACTCTCTAAACTCGCAATATGAGTCGGCGTAAATAAAAATACTCTCTAAACTCGTAATATGAGTCGGCGTAAATAAAAATACTCTCTAAACTCGTAATATGAGTCGGCGTAAATAAAAATAATCTTTAAACTCGTAATATGAGTTGGCGTAAATAAAATAATCTCTAAATTCGCAATACGAGTCGGCGTAAATAAAATATTCTCTAAACACGCAATATGAGTTGGGGTAAATGAAAGTATTCTCTAAATTCGCAATATGAGTCGGTGTAAATAAAATAATCTGTAAACTCGTAATATGAGTAGGCGTAAATAAAAATATTAACTACACTCGTAATATGAGTCGGCGTAAATAAAAAATAATCTCTAAACTCGCAATATGAGTCGGCGTAAATAAAAATATTAACTACACTCGTAATATGAGTCGGCGTAAATAAAAATACTCTCTAAACTCGTAATATGAGTCGGCGTAAATAAAAATCATCTCTAAACTCGTAATATGAGTTGGTGTAAATAAAATATTCGCTAAACACGCAATATTAGTCGGGGTAAATAAAAGTATTCTCTAAATTCGCAATATGAGTCGGTGTAAATAAATATATTCTCTAAACTCGTAATATGAGTCGGCGTAAATAAAATAATCTCTAAACTCGTAATATGAGTCAGCATAAATAAAAATATTAACAAAATTCGCAATATGAGTCGGTTTAAATAAAAATAATCTGTAAACTCGTAATATGAGTCGGCGTAAATGAAATAATCTAAAAATTCGCAATATGAGTCGGCGTAAATAAAAATATTAACTAAACTCATAATATGAGTCGGCATAAATAAAATAGTCTCTAAATTCGCAATATGAGTCAGCATAAATAAAAAAATTTAAACTAAATTCGCAATATGAATCGGTGTAAATAAAAGTATTCTCTAAACTCGTAATATGAGACGGCGTAAATAAAAATAATCTCTAAACTCGCAATATGAGTCGGTGTAAATAATATAACCTCTAAATTCGCAATATGAGTCAGCGTACATAAAAATAATCTCTAAACTCGTAATATGAGTCACGGTAAAAAAAATATTCTCTAAACTCGCAATATGAGTCAAAATAATTAAATAAAAATATTAACTAAATTCGCAATATGAGTCGGTGTAAATAAAATTATTCTCTAAACTCGCAATATGAGTCAGCATAAATAAAAATAATCTCTAAACTCGCAATATGAGTCGGTGCAAATGAAAATATTAACTAAACTCGCAATATGAGTCAAAATAAATAAAACAATTAACTAAACTCGCAATATGAGTCGGCGTAAATAAAAATATCTCTAAACACGCAATATGAGTCGGCATAAATAAAAAAAATATGCAATAAACACGCAATATGAGTCGGCATAAATAAAAAATTTAATTAAACACGCAATATGAGTCGGCATAAATAAAAGATATAAATAAAGTCGCAATATGAGTCGGCATAAATAAAGGATTTGAATGAAATCGCAATATGAGTCGGGATGAATAAAATGTATTAAAAAATAAAATCGCAATATGAGTCGGCATAAATAAAAGGTATAAATAAAGTCGCAATATGAGTCGGCATAAATAAAGGTTTTGAATGAAATCGCAATATGAGTCGGGATGAATAAAATGTATTAAAAAATAAAATCGCAATATGAGTCGGGATGAATAAAATTGTATTATTAAAAATAAAATCGCAATATGAGTCGGGTTGAATAAAATTGTATTATTAAAAATAAAATCGCAATATGAGTCGGGTTGAATAAAATTGTATTAAAATAAAATCGCAATATGAGTCGGCATAAATAAAAGATATAAATGAAATCGCAATATGAGTCGGGATGAATAAAATATATTAAAAAATAAAATCGCAATATGTCGGGTTGAATAAAATTGTATTAAAAATAAAATCGCAATATGAGTCGGGTTGAATAGAATTGTATTATTAAAAATAAAATCGCAATATGAGTCGGGATGAATAAAATTGTATTAAAAATAAAATCGCAATATGAGTCGGGATGAATAAAATTGTATTAAAAATAAAATCGCAATATGAGTCGGGATGAATAAAATGGATTAAAAATAAAATCGCAATATGAGTCGGGATGAATAAAAATGTATTAAAAAATAAAATCGCAATATGAGTCGGGATGAATAAAAGTTATAAATGAATTCGCAATATGAGTCGGGATGAATAAAATGTATTAAAAAATAAAATCGCAATATGAGTCGGGATGAATAAAATTTTATTATTAAAAATAAAATCGCAATATGAGTCGGGATGAATAAAATTTTATTATTAAAAATAAAATCGCAATATGAGTCGGGATAAATAAAATTGTATTAAAAATAAAATCGCAATATGAGTCGGGATGAATAAAATGATTAAAAATAAAATCGCAATATGAGTCGGGATGAATAATATAGTTTCAAAAATAAAATCGCAATATGAGTCGGGATGAAT